AGCTTGTTTGGATCCGCCGCAACCTGCCCACCTTCGTCGTCCCATCCGCCTTGATATTCTCTTGCTCCTTCTTTCTCTCTCTCTCTCTCTCTCTCTCTCTCTCTCTCTCTCTCTCTCTCTCTCTCTCTCTCTCTCTCTCTCTCTCTCTCTCTCTCTCTCTCTCTCAAATTCTACATTTTTACCTCTACATACACACACAAATGCATACACAAACACACCATATATACAGCATTAGTTAGTTAGTTTAGATTCAGCTACTCGGGACAAAAAGTTCCAAGTAGCACGGGCTTTGGTGAGCCCCATATTCAGGCAAATATTCACTCCCCAAATACTTTTCCTTAGTGTAGTGAGGAGTATTCCAGTGGGCACATGTGGCGTGGTGCCGTCAGCCTATTTTTGTTCCCGTACACGGTAAACTGGGGAGGGGGGGCGCACCTGTTGAAAAAGAGTGGCCTCGTTATCCGGAAATTTTCGCTGTGTCCATACCCTGGCCCCTTACTGGTGATGGGGGGCTTTTGATCGGCTTTATCGCGTCTTGACGGCATGTAACAAAAGGAACGCAAGCAGGTAGGCTGGAAGAATGGTTGGTAGGCCGATGGCACAGAAGTAGGCTGACTGACTGGCTGGCTGGCTGGCTGGCTGGCTGGCTGGCCTACTGGCTGGCTGATTCTGGATAGCTGCTTCTCGCTTGGTCTCTCTTAAGTCATCCAGAAATGGAAAAGATATACATTATCTCACTTCCAGGATCTTACTGGTACAAAACAGTGACTCAATTACTCTTACTCGCTCTCCGCCGCCATGTTCGTCCCACCTCTTATTCCATTTCCTAAACATTATTCCATGATTCCTTATTATTTTAGTCCTCTTCCTCTCACTAATTCGTTCCTCCTCTTCCCCTCGCATCAGCAGCATGGAACCCTTGGACAGTTCATATCATTAAGGCAGCAAAGTTTGAAAATTGGTTACTCCAACTTGGATCATGTAATCAAACTCAGGAACTTCGGCCCCCCTCATTAAATATTTGCATATCATATTTTCCTGTGATGAGTTCCTTAGGTTTAGAGTCAATGGAGAGAGAAGCACAGGGATCCTCTTAAAGCTAGACCGACACCAGTCGGCTTCTACAGCCGGACGTGGGAGTTGGTGGGCAGTGGGTGTTGGTGGGCAGTGGGTGTTGGTGGGCAGTGGGTGTTGGTGGGCAGTGGGTGTTGGTGGGCAGTGGGTGTTGGTGGGCTGTGGGTGCCAAACCCACGGTCCATAATAATTTACACGTAAAATCTAAGTATTTTACATTACTCCTGCCCAGAGTCCAACTACTTGGGCTGGACGGTAGAGCAACGGTCTCGCTTCATGCAAGTCGGCGTCCAATCCCCGACCATCCAAGTGGTTGCGCACCATTCCTTTCCCCCCGACCCATCCCCAAAATCTTATCCTGACCCCTTCCAATTGCTATATAGTCGTAATTCCTTGGTACATACTCCTGATAGTTCCCTTCCCAACTTCTGCCCCGAGTGGGTCTTAATCTTTCTCCTTGCGTCCCGTCAGTCCATTCATCTTCTACATGTGTTCCCTCGTTGATATTCACTTATTAAACGATCTCTATTGATGTTAAAAACTCCTTTACCTTGTACGTTGTAACCATTTCCTGAGCATCGTCGAGCCTCTTGTCCTCGTACCCCGAGAACCAGGATACACAAACCCCTTTCGTACCCACTTTTGTGATATTTACCTCCTAAGTCGATCATGTACCAGTTTACGAGCTCGGAAGTTGTGCGAAGTTGTCTACATGATAATATTGTTATGGACAGCCTGGCAGTGCTTCTGAGCGCGTCAGATATTCATAACACACACACACAAATCCACCACGATCAAAGTAAGAGGTACACGTCTCGTAAGTTGACACGTAAGAGGGCTCGTAAGCGGGCATGTAAGTAGAGACGTAACCGCGTTGTGAATCTAGACCTCGGTGCTCTATCTCAAAGGACCAGCAAAAGGGGAATAATCTATGAACCTTTATATATTTTCCGACATACTTGAGGGGAAATATTCTTCAAGGGGCAAGTATATTCCCCGACATACTTGCAAGCTCCATGTTGAGAGCCGCATACTGCAATACTGGCCTCTCATACAAGGTGAATATCATACCGAGTTTTGGTAATAGGGCCACGCCGCTGACATAATGTGACATTCCACCCAGTGACACATCCAATGACAAGTGAAATGGGAGAAATATCAGACCAGAAAAGGGCGGATCAAAGAAATAGTTCAGACAATTAGCGGCGTTCAACATGTATTCAGACAACGAGACAAAACCTCAGACAACCTGACAAAACCACACACTCACACAACTACCGAAATGCTAACTCCAATCCCCAACCACAACAGACTCCTCCCCCAACCCCCCTCACCCACAACAGACTCTTCTCCCTCCCCCACAACAACAGCACTCCCTCCCCACTACAGCAGACTCCCCACCACCGCAGGAGTGGTACAATGATGGGGACTGGGTAGATAGGTAGGGGGTAGATAGGTGGGGACGGGCAGCAAGTAGTGGTGATGGTGGTGGACAGGAACAGTCGTATGATAGGTGAAGGCAAGTGATTGAGAGTAGTGGTGGTGGTTGTGTGAATGTGAATAGTACAAGTGGAGTGATTATTGGAGAGTAGTGGTGGTGGTGGTGGCGGGTGGTAGGTTGTAGTAGTAGTGGTGGTGGCGTAAACACCTGTCGACCCAAGGGCAATAGCCTACAGCTTGGCGGGGATTCAACCGCCACTTTCAGGAAACATGTACTCTGGACCGCTAGTTTATAGAAGCAGTGTTAGTCGATTTCTTGAAGCCGTGTTGGTCGACTTACAGAAACAGTGTTGGTCGGGTTATAGAAGCATTATTGGTCGACTTACAGAAACATTGTTGGTCGGGTTATAGAAGCATTATTGGTCGACTTACAGAAACATTGTTGGTCGGGTTATAGAAGCATTATTGGTCGACTTACAGAAACAGTGTTGGTCGGGTTATAGAAGCATTATTGGTCGACTTACAGAAAGTGTTGGTCGGGTTATAGAAGCATTATTGGTCGACTTACAGAAACAGTGTTGGTCGGGTTATAGAAGCATTATTGGTCGACTTACAGAAACAGTGTTGGTCGGGTTATAGAAGCATTATTGGTCGACTTACAGAAACAGTGTTGGTCGGGTTATAGAAGCATTGTTGGGAAGATAATCATTAGGTTGACGTAGGAAAGTATGAATGGTGTTTCATAAGGTAGTGAAACTCACACTTCATCCAAAGCCCCTGATACCAATTATAAGAGAAGAAAAACACACCTCCATTATATTCCTTCCCGTTCCCTACACACCACTACACCTTCTACATCCTCTTCCATCAATCCGTGAATCCACCGTGTCTAATCCTTTCCCATAATTCCCCCTTGAACTTCTCCTATATGTTCCCTCGTCTAATGCGTTCGTCAATATATTCTGGTTACCATTATAATTTGTTTTTGTAAACCAAGACCTATTACATTCTGTGGATGAGTATTCATTAACCTACTTTTATTTATGTATAAATTGCTCTTAACCTCCTCTGTATAAACAGGCGAAAATATATGTATGCAAGATATATATATATATATATATATATATATATATATATATATATATATATATAAGAAAATATACTGCTGCTAGTTATATATGAAAATATATGTATGCTATTTATATAATATAAGCTGCTAGTTTGACGCATTAAATCACCACCTGTAGTGTTGCTCTCAATAATTATCTACATTGTATGTCGTCTACCAGGATCCGGATTCACGAATCAGCTACGCAAGTACTTACGAACGTGTACATCTTTCCTCAATCTTTGATGACTTTGGTTACATTTATTAAACAGTTTGCAAGCATGAAAACTTGCCAATCAACTGTTGTTATTGTTATAAACAGCCTCCTGGTGCTTCGGAGCTCATTAACTGTTTAATAATTGTAAACAAAGCCGCCAAAGATTGAGAAAAGATGCACAGATTCGTAAATGTTTGTATAACTGCTTCGTGAATCTGGCCCCAGATCTCTGGCTTTGTCCACGTAGGACGGAAAATAATGTATTCACGCTGGTTACCATTCTATAAAAAAAAATGGTCACGTCTGTGGTAGAAAATCGGAAAAGAACACACACACACATACGCGCGCGCGCACACACACACACACACACACACACACACACACACACACACACACACACACACATACACACACACACACACACACACACACACACACGTACGTACGTGCGTTTTCCTCACATTTATCATGTACACACACTCGCCAGAACCTTTTGTGCAGAACCACCTGTGCTCTTCTAAAACAAAGCCGCTCCCCCCTCTCCTCCTCCCCCCCCCCCCCCCCCCCCACGGAACACGTAACCCCAGCACCTATGATCAGTACACTTGCCACCTCCCCCCCCCCCCCACACACACTACACACGACTGTGGTATCTAAAGCCTCTAGAGTGAACATTTTTTTCATCGCGGCTGACTAGTGTACATCTCTGCCTAAAAAAAACTTGCCCCTTTGGTACATAATTACAAAACAATTCAATCTTCGTTCCCCAAGGTGCCAGAAGTGAACGCCCTGTGTTCCAAGGTTTGAAGTGAACGCTCTGTGTTCCACAAGGTTTAAAGTGAACGCCCTGTGCCACAAGGTTTAAAGTGAACGCCCTGTGCCACAAGGTTTAAAGTGAACGCCCTGTGCCACAAGGTTTGAAGTGAACGCCCTGTGTCCCAAGGTTTGAAGTGAACGCCCTGTGCCCCAAGGTTGGAAGTGAACTCCCTGTGCCACAAGGTTTAAAGTGAACTCCCTGTGCCACAAGGTTTAAAGTGAACTCCCTGTGCCACAAGGTTTAAAATGAACGCCCTGTGTCCCAAGGTTTGAAGTGAACGCCCTGTGCCCCAAGGTTGGAAGTGAACGCCCTGTGCCCCAAGGTTGGAAGTGAACGCCCTGTGCCCCAAGGTTGGAAGTGAACGCCCTGTGCCAAAAAGTTTGAAGTGAACCCCTGGTTTTCTGAATGCGTTTCAGCTGTCTAGAGATATCTGCATTAAACGCCTGACAGCTTGTGGAATATGGACAACATCATAAAATGAACTACCGGAACATCTAAAAATATACGAAATAAATCGGAAAGAGCCGACTGTGAGCGACCATGACCGCATCGCCAACACGAAGAAATTTTTAAGCAATTAAATTATTTAGATCGGAAACGCATTTATGATACGAGTGTAAATGTTAAAGATTTCATTCAGACTGTATCAACAGAGCTAATACTTACACAACAAGCAACTTTTCATTGACAACAACGGCAAGATTTAATAGACTTTTTTTGCCAATACAACAATTTTAGATTAGTTATCTAACAGAGTAACACAAATTCACCCAAGTGTTGAGCTTTAAAGTAAACAAAAAAATTACAATATTAAACAAATCCTTAACTACAACAGTTCCAATAGCTACAGCCTCGACACACTATAGCCCAAATTCATCATGTCAACTCGTGGTCACATGGCGATATTCCTGGCAACCCTCACAATCGCTACACTTGTTGCCATCTGTTGGTTGTACAACCCAACCATGCTAAGGACAGCTCCAGCCATACTGGTGGACACAATAATGAACAAGTTCGTGGAACACGATCGAAATCGCAGTTCAAGTAGTGGTTCTGATGGCTTTCTATGGCAATATGTGACTGGTAATACCGACTCGTATCCAGTCAAAACGGCTGCTGGGTCGTCACAGGCTCCCAATGCATCTACCAAAGATTGGAAAACAATACTGTTCTGGAACTCGTGGTTTGGGCAGCCCTGGAATGCAAGGTACAGTAATGCTCGCCTGCTTGCAGGTTTTTTTTCGGCTGCTTGTGATACAGTTGCCACCACTTCCAGTAGCGTCTAGCTCTTTCCTCTTGTAGCCATTGTCCTTGAACGTGAGGATAAAACATTCACTTCAATATTCCCAACTGTACCTCCCTCTTCTTTTCTTCCCATCGTCCCTTACCCCTCGGGTATCTATTTACTGCAAGATGAACACACAGGCATGAGATGAAAGGAAACACTGCCCAAACGCTTCTATCCTGCCGCGGGAAACAAATCCGAGACCTTTCGACTGTGACCTGACTGCCTTTACCATTATGTGACACCTGGTTTTTCTCTGCAGGTTCGGCACAACTAACGCCACGGAGCTGAAGGAGGAAGGGTGCCCGAGCTGGAAATGCAACTTTACCTATGATCGTCGCTATGCCGGTAACGCCGACGCTATTGTCATCCACGCAGGATGGTAGGTGGTTGGGGGGCTACATCATCCACGCAGGAGGGTAGGTGGTTGGGGCTAAGTCATCCACGCAGGATGGTAGGTGGTTGGGGGCTACGTCATCCACGCAGGATGGTAGGTGGTTGGGGGCTACGTCATCCACGCAGGATGGTAGGTGGTTGGGGGCTACGTCATCCACGCAGGATAGTAGGTGGTTGGGGGCTAAGTCATCCACACAGGAGGGTAGGTGGTTGGGGGCTACGTCATCCACGCAGGATGGTAGGTGGTTGGGGGCTACGTCATCCACACAGGAGGGTAGGTGGTTGGGGGCTACGTCATCCACACAGGAGGGTAGGTGGTTGGGGGCTACGTCATCCACACAGGAGAGTAGGTGGTTGGGGGCTACGTCATCCACACAGGAGGGTAGGTGGTTGGGGGCTACGTCATCCACACAGGAGGGTAGGTGGTTGGGGGCTACGTCATCCACACAGGAGGGTAGGTGGTTGGGGGCTACGTCATCCACACAGGAGGGTAGGTGGTTGGGGGCTACGTCATCCACACAGGAGGGTAGGTGGTTGGGGGGCTACATCATCCACACAGGAGGGTAGGTGGTTGGGGGCTACGTCATCCACACAGGAGGGTAGGTGGTTGGGGGCTACGTCATCCACACAGGAGAGTAGGTGGTTGGGGGCTACATCAAACTCTCTGACGACTAGAAGACACGCCGTTAGGAGCGAGGACGGGGACGTCCGCCTTCCCCACCTCGCTTTCTCCTTTATTGCAACACGTAATTCTTTTGTATCATCCTTTTATTTTCCCTGGAAGGTCACTAGTGCTGAACAACATCTCTCGAGTTTCTAGTAAAGTATCTTAACGAATGTAAGATACTTTAACTTTTGTGTGTGTAAAGCTTATTGTAGTATGTTATGGTGTATAACATACATAAAGTGAGTTACTTGCTGTAACTTATTTCCAAAACTCAACCCACTACTACTTATTTGTCTAGTTAACGTACTACAAATTAAATCGCCAAGATGCAACTGATAGTATGCCTAGATGTCTTAAATATTCCTATATGCCATAAATATTCCTATATGCCATAAATATTCCTATATGCCATAAATATTCCTATATGCCATAAATATTCCTATATGCCATAAATATTCCTATATGCCATAATTATTCTGGCCAAATATGACTCGTCCTCCACCCCCTTCCCTCTGGCAGGGCGTCGACCAAGCACCTCCCTCGTATGAGCCGCCCAGAGTACCAGCGATGGGTGTGGGTGGAGGTGGAGGCGCCTGGACCACCTTCTAATACACGGAACGATGGTCCTAAGAGCCGCTATGTCAGCACCCTTTTCAACTGGACTATGACCTACCATTCACAGTCAGACATTGCTGCTTTCTATGGATACTTTCTCTCGCTTAATGCCTCCGTCCGGTGAGTGATGGACCCCCTCTGCGGGCGGGGAATTTAATGTTCAGTGAATTGCTATAAATTTTTAATTCTTATTTTCCTTCGCAAGCTCACGTACTTTTATTAATAATTAGGTTATTAATGTCTTGCTAACTTCTTTAATAAACATCCACATAACCATGTGAACGTAAAGAGAGGGCCCCCCCCCCACCTCCACCTTTGCAATTTGCGTACGCATGATACTGAAACAGGCACTCAGACGACCAAGGTCGTCTGAGTGACCAGGTAACAGGCCCTCTAATACCTGCTCACTCTTCTTAAGACTTGACGACCCCCAAATTAAACGTGTCTCTTGTTTTTTTTTTAATTTGCCCGTCAGTGTTGTAAGCTGAGGACCACTATAATGAACACATCCACAGGAGCCGTGATGAGGGCTCGAACCTGGGTGTTCCAAGGCACATGCTCTAGATGACTGCACCACAACATGGTAAAAGAAGACTAGAGTGTGCATCTGGGAACACCCAGCGCATAGGTTCGAACCCTAATCAAGTCTCCTGTTGGATTTGTTCATTGATATGGCACGTTATTGTGATTTATCTCTGTGTACTATATTTAATGTTGCACAAAAATGCATCAAAAATCTCAAAAAGCATTAACGTCTACTTGGTAAATCCATTATCAATATTAACAATATAAAAACAAATGCTATTCTCATATGTTTCAATACGTATCTAGAATCAAGTTTAAATCAAACAGTGGACATGTACCCGTTCATTTCAGTATATATTTATGGAAATACAGCATATAGATTGATATTAATTTCAAAATCTTATCTACTAATGGCTCTTGCACTAGAAAAAAAATATTTACTGTGCAAACGAATCTTGGAAAGGCAGAATATAAACCCCATCATGAAGTGTACGCAACTCCTGGTTAAATTGTTTTGATTTGGATAATTAATCCAGCAATTAATAGATATCAAAGAAAACTGACAAAAGATACCATTGGCATACTTGACAGGCAAGACTCCACCAACTGCAACACAACAAAAATATATGCCCATAGCGGATATATGCAACATGTCCTAAAATGTTGCATATATATATCACACAGATTTTTATTTGCAACACATATATGTTGCAAATAAAAATCTATCTAGTCGAACGTACGTAAAAAATGCACTACTCGAAAAAAAACATTCCAAAGCCTAGTATGCATGTGTACTAGGCCTAGTATGCATGTGTACTAGGCCTAGTATGCATGTGTACTAGGCCTAGTATGCATGTGTACTAGGCCTAGTATGCAATAGTACATACATATATGCACATGTATGTACAATTTTAGGTCTGAGACAGCATATATTAGGCCCCATGATTGCTAGGGCAGATTAGGTCAGTTTTTCTGTTACTTTTCCAAGTTTTTAGCATGCCATTTAGATTAATTCATACAAAACAAACTTTTGGGGAGTCCAACAGTCTATTTTTGTACATTTGAATTCAAGTCCTATCATTTTGAGAGGAAGGGCTGGGACTATGTGGTGAACTCTATGATTATAGTGGGCAACATTAACACCCTAGTGCTGTACAGCTCTCCTTAATAACCCAGAACATCCGAGACTCCCAGAAAGAGCACTGAATCAGCTGGCTGAACTAGTAGGGGTAAGGCTGACCATGAGCTGTGGGAAGGAAAAGCTCTCAGCCTGCTAGCAAAACTCAGCAGTCGTCAGCTTCGTACCCACCTGAGGAAAAAACAACTCAACAGGTGTAAACATCTGACGAGTTTTTTTCTTAATGTTAAGCTTTAACTAATAATATAGATTAAACAAAAACGTGTTGGTTGATGAAAGTGTTCACTTCAAGTCATAAAATTGTAATACAAACTTCAGTAATAAAACAGTTTGAATAAAATATAAAAAAAAAATGCCAATTTTGTTAAAATATATCAAGAACGTGTAATTTTCCTATAACTGCTGGTGAATCATTTCAACATCAGCAGCTGTTAAGCTTCTGGAAAGAATATCTTAAAACTAAATAGTTGACCACACTCAAAGTTTAAGCTAATTACAAATCTCCATTATGGGTATCGGAGTTCTTTCAACCATCCTTAACAAATGATCCTGACATTTTTGGCAATGACAGTTTTAACAATGAAATCTACACAGTACATTGTATCCGAATAAGTATCTCTTAACAGCATCGTTTGGGTACAATCATATGTTTCATTTTGATTGTTTTTTGTGTATTGAACTACGAGGGGTACCCGACTGAACCCGGGTCTCTTGCTCCCCTCTCTTCTCATCTTCTCAGTGCTCCCTTCACTACCATTCACCATCTTCCCTACCTTTCTCCCTTCCTCTACTCTTCACCTCTTTCCCTTAATTCCTGTAACCATTTTCACTAAATACCATCCACACCAAAAATTATTTAGCCCAATAAATGTTAGTTCTCTTATGCATGAAACAGACTCCCTATCACCCATCCCTTTCCATCCTAACATTCAATATGCCAAAAGAATCGTAGTGAGGACGGAATTTTTTATTTAGCGAGATTGGAAATTAGTGCAATTTGCCATTTAATGCTAAGGGGGGCACAGATGGGTGTTCGGGGCACTAACCCCGAACACCCTATGTACTGCTCATAACTTAAACCATTGATCCTTCAGAGTTTAGTGAGATTAGCCCCAAGCATCTGACCGCCGACTTTTGACATTCTCATATATATCACAATTATTTGTAATGTTGTATTCTCAGACCATTGCGTCCTAACTTGATGTCCAACCACAACAAGGCCATGAAACAGTACACGGCAGCACTGGGGCGAGGGGACACCCTGGAGACGGTGATGGGCCCCGTCTGGAGGAGCTTCGTCTCCAGACCCAAGTTGGTGGCCTGGATGTCCAGCCACTGTCACACCCACGCCAAGAGGGAAGAGTACGTTGCTGAGCTCGCTAAATACATCCCTGTGGACAAGTGAGTGCGTCCTACCCTACATTATCACCACAAAGCTGTCGGGTAAAACTTACCATATCACATATGTAGTTTCTTACATAAAGGTTGCAAGTGCCATGATCTACATATTCGACAGCGATCTAATTCGTTACACATTCGCAGGTACGGGAAATGTGGAGATAAACAGTGCTTTCCCGCAGGACCTCTAAACGACGTGTGTTGGAAGAACGTGTTAAGCAGGAACTACTCCTTCTTCTTGTCCATGGAGAACAGCTTTTGTGACGACTACATCACCGAGAAGCTCTACAACCCTTTAGTGCACAACCTTGTCCCTATCGTCTATGGGGGTACGTATGGAAGGCTCAGAGTGTGGGAAGGCATGTGTGTGTGTGTATATTATATATGTGTGTGTGTGTGTGTGTGTGTGTGTGTGTGTGTGTGTGTGTGTGTGTGTGTGTGTGTGTGTGTGTGTGTGTGTGTGTGTGTGTGTGTGTGTGTGTTTCTTTAAGGGAAGGGGGCGACGTGAGTAAGTACAAGGGGCGTGTGTGAGTACTAACCAGGTGTTAAACCTACAGGTAGTGACTACGAGAGGTTCCTCCCACCACACTCCTACATTAATGCTCGGCACTACCACCCACGGGAGCTGGCCCGCCTCCTGACGCGGCTGCAGCAGGATCCCGTAGCCTACGGCAGGTAAGCATTACCACTCCTGCACCAGATATGATGCTCATACATCACACGAAACCCCCCACACACACTACCGAACCATCTCACCCCTCTTCCTCTATGATCGTGCTGTACTCTACTTCAGGCGCCCAATACCGGCAGGTACCACCTGTGGCGTGGGTACTTCAGGGCAATGATCCGGGGTACGATGTGCGAACTGTGTCACCGCCTCCACGTTGAGGCCAGCGCCCCGCCTAGCCACCACACGGACATCGCTAGTTGGAGGACGAGGAGCGGGAGGTGTCGGTCCATCGACAGAGGCATGTTCAACTCCACGCTGGGCTCAGGCTCCTGGAGGACCATCATCACCACACACTATGACCCCTTCATTAACACCAGTTTGCGTCTGTGATTCCCTACGATGCAAAAAGTGATGGACTTTTTCCATGTGAATTTTTTTTTCAATTATGCATTACTGCTTTCCACAACATATTTCCTTAACTCCACACAAACCGTAATGAGTATACAGAACATGTGGGATAAAAACAAGTCGATTTACCCAGGCCAAACAAAGAAAACCTTGTTGATAATTTTAAAGTACATAATAAATAATGAAATAGCAATAATGAAATATGATTTTACATTGCATGGAGAAAATGAGAAAGAAAATATTCCCCTTTGAAATTATCACACAGCAGATTATACAAGCTAGAAGCTTGGTGTACAGACTTCAGTACTTAAAAGTAGATGAAATTAAAAAACTAATTTGAATTATTGTGTAAGGAACCCTAGAAGCAAAATATCTTGTAGGCTTCCTTATATTGAAACCATCTTTGCTCTAAATGATTACGCAAAGTGAAGTGTTGTATTGATCACAAAGAGGACAATATAAGAGATAACAGTAGGTTGAGGCATCTTTAAGAATCTCTGGTGAAAAGATAACAGTGAATATATACTGATGAGAAAAGCAGAGAGATTGAGAGATCATGATAACTAGGGAAGCGAAGTCAAATCATAAAGGATTTTTTTTAGTATATAAAACAGTTTATGACAATAAATTAGCTGTTAATGAAAAATAAATTAGTTACATTTAGACCACTTACTGCGACATCAGTCTTCAGAAAGTAACAGTGAATATATACTGATGAGAAAAGCAGAGAGATTGAGAGATCATGATAACTAGGGAAGCGAAGTCAAATCATAAAGGATTTTTTTTAGTTTATAAAACAGTTTATGACAATAAATTAGCTGTTAATGAAAAATAAATTAGTTACATTTAGACCACCTACTGCGACATCAGTCTCTACACACACAGAAGACTATTTATAATGTAATTGCATCAAATATAATAATGGGTGAATGTAATGTACTAGTTACAAAACGCTGAGATTAGCAAAACATGCTGAAAAAATTTATACCAAACGTCACTAAACTCTGATAAGATTTCAAGTTTCAAACGCATATAAGAAAGAGCTTAGAGAGCTATTAACAAATCGAACTCTGCACTTGTCCCCAGCAGAATCGAACGCTAATAAAATGCAATTACAATTAAAAAAAATTAAGGCATGATTAAACTATCGCCAAAAAAGTATGACTTTTTTGTCCTGCAGATAACCTTAATAGAGATCAAAAGGTCACGTATTTTTTTCCCCAGACGTACACTCCCTTCACTCCTACCTTCCTATCAAGCCAGAGGTGATAGTCCCATAAGCGAGAGACTAGTGGACCAAACTCTCACAAGTCAAGCCTGGTCTCAGGCCGGGCTTGGGGAGTAGAAGAACTCCCAGAACCCCATCAACCAGGTATCAACCAGGTATCAACCAGGTATCAACCAGGTATCAACAACAGTCCAGCACGACTCCACTGTCCCCTTTCCTCGACATGTCTTGAAAACTTGGCCAAGACGCTTAAGAAACAGACGTGCCGGAATGGGCTACTTAAGCCCAGATAGTCAAGGTAAAGGAGCAGGCGGGAATGATTAGTAAAATCATCCAACAGTGGTGGAAAGCCGTCATGATAGTTCAGAATGGTGGGTAGGGTGGTCGAGTAGTTCATGGCGAGGTGGGGTTGAGTAGTTCATGATGGAGAGGGTTGAGCAGTCCTGGGCAGGGTTTGGGATACTTTTTTTTATCATATTTAAACACATTTGCATTCATGCAACTATCATAGACTATATGGGTTGTAAAGGTGGCCAGATGCGTGGGGTTAGCCTCGTGCAGGGAAGGGGGGAGGGGGGGGGGGGAAATGGGAAAGCTAAGAAATACAGCAATAACATTTATAGAGACCACCCCGTGTGATTTTCTGTGAGACCAATAGACTCGTTTCAGCGCTTCTCAAATCATTAATTTTTCGAGGGAAGGAAGTGGGGGAGGATTAGAGGGGAGGGATAAAATGAGGGTCCAAGAGCAGTAGGACGAGGGGAGGGGGAAGAGGAGATGGGAGAGAAGAAAAGGGGTAGAATGGGGGGCTATCCCGGGTACAGCAAAGCACCACTTTGCATGAATATATATATATATATATATATATATATATATATATATATATATATATATATATATATATATATATATATATATATACACACACTCACACACACAATGATGACAAACCCACACAACAAAAAATGGAGAAACGACAACGTTTCTTATTAACTGACGAATATAAAGGCGGGGCCCAAGAGCTAACATTTCAATCCTAAAGACACAAATAGTAAATACAAACACTATCATGCACATACAAATAATAGATATATTTGTATACACATACACCTATATATATATACAAATATACACATAAATGAAAAATTCAATAAAAACTCAATACTCTTACAATAGATTTTCCTCCATAATTAAATAACTTTTAGCGACTATTACCTTTTACAGTCATGAATTCACAGCCAGGGCTTAATTGGCTCAGGGACTTTGTAGTTCTAAAAAAGAGTTTTCCACATCTGATTCCAAGTTGATGGCGAGCGTGATCAAAATTTTTTCCTCGACTGGTGTACCCATTAGCGAAACGTTGAAAATGATGCTCAAAAGACGTGTGAACTCATTACCACTATACGCACACACGCGCGTGTGCACGCAGACTGGAGGGCACACGCAATATATACATTAACAGGTTGAGAGGGCGGGACTAAAGCTCTAATTTCCCGAAAGCACAATTAGATGTGTGCAATTAAGAGGTGCCATTGAGTAGGCTATCTACACAAGAGTAAATCAGAAAATGCCTGAGTCTCCCCTTAACAAATCGCGGGCAAGGTCTGTAGATCAGAGGGAGGGAAGGATATAGAGGGAGGAAGGGATATAGAGGGAGGGAGGGAAGGAAGGAGAAGCAGGGGGGGGGGGGGGCTCCAGGGGTATGCGACAGACTAAGAGCAACCTGCTGGAAATTTTCATTAAATTTGACGCGCTGTTTTATGAGATTCGTTCTATTTTTTTTTCTCTCCACGCAGCATTTTTCTTTTGCGTGTAGAGAATGGGCTGGCTGGAAGACGGGCAAGGTCCTCCTATCTGGTTATATTACTGATCGCTGCAGTCTTCAGTTCACCGCTCACCTTCCCTCCAACGTCGTAATTACAAAATCGCCTCAAAATACATGCGATCCTCTTGATGTATACGACCACTGCACTCAATCATAAATACACACAAATTAAAAACAGTTTTAACAGACAATACACAAGCTCTCGAGCGACCATTACACGAAGGAGACAGTGGACCGATACGCAGTTAGGAGGAAGGAGCGAAAGTAACTGACAGAGTAACAGAAAGTAACAGAAAGTAACAGAAAGTAACAGAAAGTAACAGAGCTGATTTGGCTATGCTACCGTCAACTTCTACCTCCCCCCCCCAACCCCCCAGGGAACCATCCACACCCCCATCAACCCTCCACAACTTTTCAAGAGGTAATTATTGGAGGGCGGTGTGGCGATAAATTAGTGTTTCCGCCGAGAATACAATTAAGTGAAGCATTTTGGCAGGCTGGGGCTCCCAGGGCGCCTGTCGGATGAGAAGGAAAAAGTCACCTATTGTCCTCTTTTGACAACAGGATCGAACCTAATAAACAACAGCCCCGTCCCCTTAACTACTGCGTCTCATTTTGTGCGTTACGTTCCTAGACGTAGTAATATGTACTAGATAAGAGGTGCTACCTTACCTTGAGGTGCTTCCGGGGCTTAGCGTCCCCGCGGCCCGGTCGTCGACCAGGCCTCCTTGCTATGAAAAGTTGCGACTCACAAACTCGTTTTCTATGTGTAGGTCGGTTAGAGTTAGGTGCGTTTTAGTTCCCTTTATTTTGTACGTTGAAGCAAATCAAGAGAAGGGGTTGGTCTGCTAGACAACCGACGGATGTAGGATTTACAACTAACATTTATGAGAGATTAACAATAATAAAGCTATACAATCACCTCATAATAAAGCAAGTGCTATTGGAACGTTTTATAATGAGCTAAAGGAGAGATAAACTTTAGCTTCTAATTAATTTGCATGCAAGAATTCCATCCCACAAAGGTTAAAGATAAATTCCATCCTGCAAAGGTAAGGTTAAAAAAGGGTAGTAATAGTGTAATTGGGCATAACCTTAGGCAGTTAAGAGACCCTACTTGGTTGTGGTGTGCCACCACCACCACCACGAAAATACTTCCACCACAGGAGCCATTTGAACTCCATGCCGACGCTGGAACTGTTTTACACCACCACCACCACCACGTATATACAATCGTGGTGGTGGTGGTGGCCTTCTTATTACCACCACAATAGTAATAAGGAGGACCTGAGATACCAATGCAGGCGATGAGTCACAATAACGTGGCTGAAGTATGTTGACCAGACCACACACTAGAAATTGAAGGGACGACAAAGTCCCTTCAATTTCCCCTTGAAGTCGTCCCTTCAATTTCTAGTGTGTGGTCTGGTCAACATACTGAGATACCAATATATCACTATACAGACCCCAGCATTCACTACACTATAGTGTGGCTTCAGCTCTCCAGTACCTGGAACACACTCAGTCCAAACTTTCTCAAATTAAACTTCCTTACATTATGGAACAATGACTACTAAATGTTATGCATTTAAACAGAAAAAAAATGGAGGAAATGGTATGGCATTCTTGTCGCCTTCCGCTGAGGTAGTTAATTTACAATATTTATGGGTGTGAATTGCATTATGAAGCTAGTTTATAATTACGCTGAGTGGATATGCAATGAGTGAACGATATGGGCGTTACTCAGGCAAATAAACAATTGCAATTACCATTTGTCCATTTATGAACACTCAAGTGTAACATGATAAAATTTAGTGCGAGTTCATCGATAAATTAGACATGTTCAAGTCTAATTCCTGTACGGTTCTATATGAAGCTAAATTTACACAATTCGAGGATATAGTATAAATCTGAAAACCGACAAAAAGTCTTCATATCCATTAAACAATAATATTAAATAAAATAAGTTACAAAGGTGCAAAGAGAAGCCAGATTACCCTATCATAATAAGCGATTACTAATGACCTTCTTTTCGTATTGAAATCATTAACATCCTCACTTAAGCGGAAGATACGTAAGTTATTATATGCAAATAAATCATATTTTTCACGCTTACAGATAATATACTTTA